ACTTGCCTTACAGACTTTTTGACTTGAGAACCGCCTTCCAATACGGATTAAGTTCTCAAGTCAAGCCCCCACTGTAGTGTTTTTAATTTTTTTTTCTCTTCTTCTTTTCATGGTGGAGAACTTTGCCAGAAAATAGATATAGAACCTTGAAGATCTACACAGAATTATAAGGCTACACTGAGCAACACAAACTCTACAAGCTGGAAAAGCTTTGAGACAGCACATCCAGATGATGTCTGACCAGAAGATAACTGCTGGAAGTTTGAAACAATAGAGATGATTTAAAAGCAAGACATCACCACAATCAACTGTGTGTGTGTGTGTGTGGGGGTTGTCAAAGTTTGAAATTTTGTATGTATAGAGTATTAAAATAGTTAAAAGGAGGGAGGAGTGGAAAATGCAACTCTGAAAATGTATATTGTGCTTTAAAAATAAGGTTTGGACAGCTGAAAGTCACTTCAGGGCAATCAGCCAGCCCTCCACCCAAGTTTGTAAGCAAGGTCAATGTAAAATAACATTGCCAGGCAAAGGTATCCTTTCTCTAGCTAGCTGATAGTTGAAGGTGTAAACAACTGATAAGGAAATAAAAAACAAAGGAGGAAAAAACCCTCCTTGACCATGAAATGTTGCAACTGTCCAACCAATTTTACAATCTGATGTTGATTTCCACATAAGGTGGAAAGTTACCCTTTCTGGGTGTAAAGGGTAACTGTATTATTTACAGCAAAGTATATTAGTCAATGTAATAGCATAACAATTTTGGACTTGCTCTGCTTGAATGGTTTTATCTTTCATTGATACAATAAAGCTTTGAATACCCTAATTCACTGACGTTTTGGGGCTTCTCACCTTTCCCTCACTGAGGGAAGATCTAGAGAAACACAACAAGGCTTTCAAGCAACAAATATGATCAATTGCATGCAGTCTAATTTACTCCTATGAGGAAACCATAATCTTTGTGTTCTTGAGCATTTTTAGTATGCTGCTTGATTCTACCGGAGGGAATCAACTACATGAGTCTGCTCCTCATTTTGCCTGATCATTTCAGAGGGGCTCTGTCCTTGCAGCTTGACTAGGCAAGCAGCCCTGCCTCCGCTTCCCAAAGTCTCTGAAGCGGCGTCATCCAGTAGGCAAAATCCAAAAAAACAAAATAAAGCAAGACAAATATATGTGGCACCTTAAAGACTAACGATTATATTTTAATGTGAGATTTCGTATTTAAGTCTTTAAGGTGCCACATGTTTTCATCTTGTCTTGTTCTGTTTCTTTGGATTTTGTCTGATATACTTGCACAGACTAATATGGCTGCCTCTTTCATAAACCAGCAGGTAAATCTTATGGGTCCATAGTTTTTCAAACCAGCTCACTGTATCTCTAGTTAAGTGGCTGCTTAGACAGAAGCATGGGCAGAATTATCAATCCATGTTTGGTACTTGTTCATCAGAAGTAATTATTACAATCGCAAGGTATCATTGAGCTGTAGTATTGTCAGTATAAGGAAATGATGTGACTTAAAATGACAAAAGATTTATGTACATGGGATTCTGAGGATAATGTCTGACTCTGTTCATCTGTCATAGTTTCTTTCCTTTGAAACAAAGCATGTTATCCCAGGGCGTATAGTAAAACAAAATCACATCTGGGGAATTTACATATATAATGATGTATCTCTTTATAAGCCTATTCAGGTGTTATGATTAGAAACTGGAATTTCATATTCGTCTCCCAGGCACAGACCCTTTCCCCCTGAACTAGGCATCCACTTACCACTCGCCACATAACCAGCATCATTGAAAGCACGCCAATAACAGCATTAGCCTGGTTCATGCTACCCCTGTCCCCGCACTTGGCTGTCCACTGTGGCAAGGGGCAGGATGAGGAGCTTCCCATTAGGGGCTGACGAGATTCTCCTCAAGGGCTGAGTAGCCAGATGAGCAGGGAGATGGGGCAGTGCCAGCAAGGCTACAACCGCAATTGGCATGCTTTTGATGACATTGGCCCTGTATGCCATGCAACAAGTGGACACCTGTTTTTTTTGGGGGGGGGTCCAATAGGGCCAACCAACTGTGCGGCAAGCAGCACTGTAGGGACTGGAAGAACTCCCATCTGTCACACAACTAAGGCTGTATAAGAGACTAGCCATGGTGGGAATTGCCCATTTTGTTTATGGGCAGCCCCCCCAAACCACCACTCTATTGTCATATTACATGGATAAGTGACTCTCTGCCCATTGTTTATAAATGTTCATCATCATCATCTTAGAACTGAAGAGCTGGAAGGGACCCTATGGATCAGTGATGGTGAACCTATGGCACGTGTGCCACAGCTGGCACGCAGAGCCCTTTTTGTGGGCACACAAGCCGTAAATTGCCATTGAGAAATACTTACCCGGCCTCCAATCCCAGATTGTAGTACTCCCTTCTGCTGGTGCAGTGGTCCAGCTGAGGGGTCCAATGGGCCATTACTAGTCTAGCCCGATGGGCGAATTGAAGGATTGGTAAGTATTTCTCTGTTAATACCTCCCCTAGGAAAAACACAAGCATTTAACCCTTGCAGTGCAGGGGCAGTTTTTTTTTTTTTTCTAAATTAAAGCCTCACTATTTTAATTGCAGTGTTGGCAGCTTGAAACAAGTAAGTTGGCTCTGCGTTGGTTTGGGCACTCAGGCTCAAAAAAGGTTCACCATCACTGCTATGGATCACTGAGTCCAGGAGGCACAATAGGGAAACCAACTGCTAACCTCCAGTTCCACAGCCAGATAGCTAAACCACAGAGTTATCCTGCAGTTCTTTTAGTTACCAGAAATCGCAAATGCAATGATAATTGTTCATAAAACATTGGTAAAGCCCACAGGCTCATAAATGCTTCTCTTAATATGAATAAAGAACCCTGATTAACTCAATTTTGTAATGAAAGGTTTTTGAGTACACTGTACTGTATTTCCAAAGTAGCCATGTTAGTCTGCTCAGCATATTGGCAAAATAAAGTTGGGGGGGGTTGGAGGCGAAAATATTACAATATTTTGAAGACCAACAAGTTTATTTTCTTGTGTGCTGCCTGGAAGGCACACTAGCATTCCAGTTCATCTTAACCGTCCAATTCTGGTTATCCTTAATTAAGAAATAAGCAACGTGGTTACTTTTAGCTCGGAAGAAAATCTAAATGAATTGCCCACATTAATAACAATAACGCTTTCCAGTCGGTTAAGCTTCGTTATCCAAAACGTTGGCTCTCGGCTGCTCCTCTGAGGCCTCGGAAAAGAAAGTACTGACTGGCCGAAGCCTATGCGCAACGTCAGCGTTCCCTCGGCACGAAAACCCGGTCCCGAAGCGACCCAAGCTCCGAAAGTCCACCCGCCCTCCTCCCCAGGCAAGGCCGAGGCCGCAAGAGGTGCCGAGGAGGTCTGTCTCTCCAGCACCTAGCGTGAGCCTTGTTCGACGCATGCGTACTTTCATGCTAGGCTCGTCTCCCGGAGAGCAGGTTTGTTGTGGGCGGAAGCGGAACCCCGAGTGCCTGCGCGCCGTTTGAAAACCATGGCCGCGGCGGGGGCGCCCTTGACGGAAGAGGAGGTTTGCGACCGAGTAAACCTGAGCCCCCAGAATCTCGGTGACTGCCTGGCCGCTGGAGGGGGGGGAGCGGGGAGGGGTGGCGGTAGTAGTTAGTTTGCGAGCATTGTTCAGCATCGTTGATTGCGGGGCTTGGAGCGGTCGTATAGACCAGATGGGAGGGGATATAAATAAAATAAATAAATAAATTGATATAAATCAAGTAAATAAAATAGCACCTTTTTTAAAACTGCAAAAAAGCAGCCAGCGGTGGTAGGCTGGGGGAATTCTGAACTCAAAAAAAGTAACTTCCCCAAGTTAAAATTATTAAAAGCGTTAGTCAGGTGACCAGAGAAATTGGGTTAGTATGTTCATACCGGACCTAACGGGAGAGGCGCGGGGTTGTCGCCTGAGAAAGCCGGGAGGCCCGTCAGTCAGTCAGTCAGTCTGTCAGTCTTTTATCTTTCATAACACTAGGAAACGGATAGGCGACCCTTGCAGAGAAGGGGGACATTCTTGGATCCCCTTTTAACGGGGCTTAAGAGATAACTGGGGAAGGGGAAGGAACCGTCTTGCTCTTCTGTTGGAGAAACGGAAAGTTTTTTTGAGGCAAGCACACAAAAAAAAATCCTCAGATTATTATAGTTACTGTATTAATGTAAAAGTCTTTGCTCAATAACTAGACTTTAACTTGAATTCTAGTTTTCAGTCCCTTGATACACTGTTTAATACTTGCAAGTATTGGAAAAGTTGTTGGATAAGGAAATGATAAAAATTGTTGTCCATATGGACCTTTAAAGAGTCTTCAAAGTTTTCAAAATATTGTAATCCTTACAAGAACAATCGCTATAAATGGCTGGTCACAATAATGTTATGTTCCCTGATCTATACATTTCTGCAGTACTGTATGCATAATCGTGTGGTTTATAGTGCAGTGACGACGAACCTTTTTGGGCCTGAGAGCCCAAACTGGGGGAAAAAACAACAAAAAAAGCGGGTGGCGGAACCGGAAGTGTTGGTGGAAGTTGGAATCCCGGGCATGGAGGTGCCTCGAGACCCCACTCCGGATCCAGCACCAGTTGCTCCGGATCCTGGCCTGCCACCTATCGAAACGCAAGCACCACATGTACAGCCACCTCTGCATGTTTGGCTAGGGGTGGGGGAGTAGTGATCTGGCGACTTATGGCTTGTGTGCCAGCAGAAAAGGCTCTGCGTGCCAACTGTGGCACTCATACCATAGGTTTGCCATCGCTGGTATAGTGGGTGTGTGAGTTACAAGCAACTTACTACCACTCAGACTGGTTCAATAGTGCTAATTTTTAGGATTATTTTTTCAGAAGATAAAAGCAGAAGATTTGGGTGATGAATTTCTGGTTAACCCTTACGGCAGTTTCATAATCTCCGCACAGAAACTATGCCTTCTAAATGAAGAATACAAGATATATGTATCATTGGTTCATAATCTGCGGTCAGACTGTAAAATACCTTAGGATCACTCTTATCCCATGGGCTGCTGCCTGATTCTTAAGATCATCTGCAGTGTTCAAACACCACTGCTACTTGTGTATATTGCTGTCCAAAATCCTGCATTGTTTGTGGGGTTTATATTGAAAGTTGTGAACAGGAGCTCCTCCTGTTGGACTATCCGACCCAGGTAAACAGCCAGTGCTCCCTTTACCCACCTGCTATAATCTTGGCACAGCTAAAGGCATACTTCCTGTGGCTCTTTTAAAAATACAAATGTTTTTGCTGAAACACAGCTTTGTTTACTTTGATGACACTACATAAACCATATGTCATAGCAATATATGTAGATGCAATATCTTTTGATACATTAATGAGTAAGGTTTATAAACAAAAATGATTTTATATTTTTGACATAAGGAATAAAAAGTTTCAATAAACAGGTAAAAATATAAGAACAATATTTCAAATTGTCAGCTTTTTCAGCATATAATTATAAACCTTTTATATTGTTTATAATTTAAACATTTAAATAAATTCCCTCTCTCTCTCAAAACATAGTATCTCCAGCAGGAGGCCACACAAATTAATCAGCATGCAGTTCCTTTTATGAAGAGTGTTTTACTCTTCTCACCTGTCAGAAGTTGGTACACATCCCACATCCAAATGTCAATCTACCTCAGTCACCATGTAGACAAATCCAAACCTGTACAAAAAACACTTTTACGGTGCAAAATTGCCACATCATTCATAGAGGCTTTTTTCTGAGTGCCACTGTTGACAATGGTGTGATGGGTGGCTATTATAGAAGCAGTCTTCTCCATAGCTGTCTTCTCATTGATGAGCCTTCCTTTGGTAGATCCATTTGTGGTCCTTATTATGTTATCAGTTATTTTGGGGTTACTAGTGTAATTACATTAGCTATGTCTTTTGGGGTATCTATTGAGTATATTGGATTTTGTAAATTTTAAACTGACTTGAGGCAATTTACCATTTGGACAGTATATAAATATAATAATTGATACATTTAGTGTAATAATAAAAAGTTACAGAGTATACAAAATAGACACTCCATGCTTTGATATGCTCAAAGAGACCATTGGTAATGGTGCAGCTAAAAAATCTTGTAAATAAATAAATAAAATAAACATTTCATTGTATTTCTGTGTTGATAAAAGTAGCTATTGAGACTCTCAGTTTGGATAGTTTTGGAAGGTCTTCTTTTACAGTTTCCAGGTTGTAATTTCTCCCAAGTAGAGCTACTTTTATCTATGAAGAACCTCTACCTGCCAACCCCTCCCCCACCTTGCCATTTTTCATCCAAAGAGGAAATACTGGGAGATGCAGTCCATGGCTCTTGTGTATCAGGTTTAATTTGACTGTAAAACAAATTTCTATGCAGCATATTTGAAGAAAATTGCATTATTCTACTTTCTGCATTGAAAATAATTTCTTATGCATTTAGCATTGGATTGATAATAAAGGCCATACCACCCCTGAGAATTCTGTCATATTATACAGTTCTCCATTGCTGAATCATTTGCAGCCTGGTCCTATATTTATTCATGTGCAGATTCTGGTACACACCTTATCTCTAGACTGCATAGCTAGAGATATTTGTGACATAAGCTTCCATCATTGTATTGTTAATCTTCAACATTCACATGCTTGCAGTGTGATGGTGGAGCTACATATGAAGTACATTTGCATGTTATGGTTGCCATAGACAGGCATTTGTGCTGTCATTTTTTTGAGAGGGACAAGGTTCTATACAACTTGAAAACTTACTCATTCTTTTTTAAAAAAAATCTGCTCAAGTTTTTAAAAATCAGCTTACGCGGTTTTTTTCTTTCTCTTGTTCTGTGGAGCCAATGGAACATCAGTTGTTTTGCCTTTTTAGATCTGGGACCCATATTCCACCCCAGTCTGAAATATCTGCTCCATTCAGAATATGTTACCAGTGCTGTATATGTCTGGTTTGTCCCTGGCCTCTTTCTTATCTGTTTGTATAGGCCTTCATGCCTCCAACACTTTGGTCCAGGTCAGGATGACCTCTTATCCTGAGTACCATTCAGATGAACTTGTTGTAGTAAACTCCCAACAATATATCATTTCAGCTGATGTCCGATCATTGTCTCTTCCTGGAAATTATCATAAAAAGATCACTCATTTAGGAGATTCCCTGAAAAATTTTATTTGTCTGAAATCTCTTGACCTTTCACGCAATGTGTTGACTACCTTGGAGGTAAGATATCTTGCTTTTAAATCTTTTCTATTGTGCCTTTTATATACTTTATTTATTAACTGCATTGGTACCCTATCCAGTAGTTGAAGATGTCTGTGAGTCAGAAAGTAAGGCATAGATAACATTAATACTGTATAATAAAACATTATAAACTGCAATACAGATTTAAATAGGTATAGATGAAGGATGTGACTGCGCAGTGAGAAACGTGCATTCACTTGCTGTGAAGCAGCACCCAGGAATTCAGGTCTGTTTGATTTAAGTTGCCACACTGAAATAAAATAACTTGCAGTTCTTACAGCCCTAAAGGTGGTGCTCTTCAAAGAACTGCATTAATAGGTAGCGAGATAGGCTTTCCCTTGTTTCAATTGCCAGCTTCCAACACTGGGCTTTGCCTTGTTACATTATTTAAAAACTAAAGTAAATAAAATACCCTGTTTCCCCGAAAATAAGACCTAACCTGAAAATAAACCCTAATATGATTTTTCAGGATGCTCGTAATATAAGCCCTACCTCCAAAATAAGCCCCAGGTAAGTGAAACCCCACCTTCCACCATTGTGCAGCATTGTATAGCAACCAAAATATGACATGACTATAAACCCTAATGCATTTTTGGAACAAAAATTAATATGGTATAAGACCCTGTCTTATTTCCGGGGAAACATGGTAATAGGAGTATTGCTCAAGAGGAGAAACTTTGAAAAAAAGAATCTTGAGAGAGATTTTTTGCTGGGCAGAACATGTGCTAGTGCCTTTTTCTGTGTGTATGTGTGCTAGTTAGGAGATAAGAGACAAGAGGCGAGGGAGAAGGGGCTTTGGGTGTGCGCACACACACATCTCATGCTCCTGTTCTCCATTAGTTCAAGCTATCACATGCCTACATTGATCCGAAAAGATTTGAACTTTTTAAGAAGTAGAAGGCTCCCCAGTGGACGGGAAAAGGTACAGATTGGGGAGCAGAGGATCCAGGCCGATTCAAATTTCCATTGTGTCATCCAGTCCGTGGGGAAAATATGAAGCAACCGGCCCCAAACTTATAGTGTTTCCCACAGTTTTTGGTAATGTTGCCACCCTCTGAAACCATCAGTAGATGAAGAAGCCATTACAAGGATTAAAAATGTTCTTAAAACTGAGTGAAAAATTTGGGAGAATAAAAGGCTCTTTGTGCAGTGTCAAAAAGAACACAGTGAGTGAGTGCCAGGCAAGCCTCTTCAGGCTGGTCATTCCAGTTATTGGGATCCTACCACTAAAAACACCGGTAGAGTGATTTCCTGTGTAACTTCATTCAGTGGAGATGACCAACAAGTTTAAGGTCTGGATAGGTACTATATGAAAAGAGATGCTCCTTCAGATAAAAAGATGTTTGCAGCTTTGAAAATTAATATCAGCATTTTGAATCTGTTCAGAAATGGTCTGGAAATCAATGTAGACAAAGTACTAGTGTAATATCACTCAATTTTAAAAGTATTTTTTTCCATGCATGGGTCGCATGGTTTATTTTCAGGATTGTTACGTAGCCTATTCTGAACGTTTGAAATGGCTAGCATTAAAAAAAATGATCTTAAATTAGTTTTAAAATTTGATTTAAAAGTAACACTTCATTAAAGACCTTTAAATCTCTTGAGGTAGTGCCACCTCAAGAGAGAGAGCGCACATATTTTCCACGCAGAAGTCAGGAAATTCAGTCTGTGATATCTCCATTAAAAAATAATCCAGTAAATTGCCTGTCAGATTAAACAGAATTGATTATTTTGATTTGAAACATCTTCAGTTGACTTCTCCAAGCTCCTGAGAATGGTCAAACCTATAGCACTTTGTAACAATTATCTAAATAGACCTAGTGTGAATACATAATTTCTTGAAGTACAGTGGTGCCTCGCACAACGAGCGCCCCGTAGAGCGATGAATTCTCTCTACGGGGACGTTTTTTCGATCGCTAATGCGATCGCAGAGTGACGGCCCCAATGGGCGAAAATCGCAGAGCGAAGGTCGGTAAGTGGTTCGCTTACCGACCTTCGCTTTGCAACCCGCCGACCAGCTGTTCCATGGCTTCAAAATGGCCGCCGGAAGCCCCAAAATGGCCACGCGCAGCGTTTTCGCGCCCTCGTTAAGCGAGGGGAGGGCGCAAAAATGGCTGCAGGCCATAGAGGAACATTGCTGTACGGTGAGTAAATCAGCCGATTGGAACGCATTAAACTAAGTTAAATCAATTTACATTAGTCTTGCTTGTTAACAGGGAGTTTTCAAATATTACCTGATTCTTTTTGCTTACTTTCAGAGGGGCTATTCTTGTTTCTTAAACTTTTTTTCTGTTAAACTTCTTCTTGTTGCATCCCTTCTAAATCATCATCTTCCAGAAGATCAAGAAATCAAAGGGAATTTTAAGCCAAGACTAGGAATGCTGAACGACTAATAGGGACCAAGATAAAATAAAGAGAAGGTGGAATGAGTGTACTGAAGAGCTATGCAGAAAAAATTAAAGGATGACAGGTTTCTTTAAAGAGGAATCATATAATAAGAAATTGCAATTCTAGAAAGCTGCTGTTAAAGCATTTAAAAGAAATAAACCACCATACAGTAGTTAGATGGAATATGAATAGAACTGTTTTAAGGCACATAGACTGAATTTTTCAAAATCTTGACCAGAATATGCCAACAAATATGCAAAACAAAACAAGAAAATGTTCAATATCTAGTTACTCTCAAAGAAGGGAGATGCCAAAGAGTTCAGCAATTATCTAAATAGCCCTAGCTTGAATACATAATTTCTTGAAGTAGTAAGGTGGAAGTAAACCAGCAACTTAATTCTGATTTGTTCTGTTAACAGGGTCTTGAACATCTCACATATTTGGAAAAGCTCAATCTCTATTTCAATGACATCTCTTCATTGTCAGAGGTGTTTCGACTCCACAGCTTAACTGCACTCAAGGATGTGGATCTCCGGCTCAATCCTGTTGTGAAAAATGAATCAGATTATCGTCTTTTTGTAGTACATATGCTTCCTAATCTCAGGAAGCTGGGTATGTAACTGAAAGTTAGAAAGTATGTTTTAAAGCACATGTTTCATACACTTGCTTGAAAAACTGAACTGACTGTTGCTCCATCTTGAGTGTTGACTTTGAGCAGACCTGAGTTTGTTATGTTAGAGGCGAAGAATTCTCAGGTCCGTATCATACAAAGCTTTATTATTCCATTTAGCTCCTTGCAGTTTTTCTTTTTTCCTGCATCTTCTGTGAAAAATGTGTAGATATTACACTTAATCTTATCCAAAAGTCTGATACAGTATGGAATTCTTCTGAAATCAATTTACATTAGTCTTGCTTGTTAACAGGGAGTTTTCAAATATTACCTGATTCTTTTTGCTTACTTTCAGAGGGGCTATTCTTGTTTCTTAAACTTTTTTTCTGTTAAACTTCTTCTTGTTGCATCCCTTCTAAATCATCATCTTCCAGAAGATCAAGAAATCAAAGGGAATTTTAAGCCAAGACTAGGAATGCTGAACGACTAATAGGGACCAAGATAAAATAAAGAGAAGGTGGAATGAGTGTACTGAAGAGCTATGCAGAAAAGATTAAAGGATGACAGGTTTCTTTAAAGAGGAATCATATAATAAGAAATTGCAATTCTAGAAAGCTGCTGTTAAAACATTTAAAAGAAATAAACCACCATAGTTAGATGGAATATGAATCGAACTGTTTTAAGGCACATAGACTGAATTTTTCAAAATCTTGACTAGAATATGCCAACAAATATGCAAAACAAAACAAGAAAATGTTCAATATCCATTTAGTCTCAAAGAAAGGAGATGCCAAAGAGTTCAGTAACTATATGCCTATTGCATTGTTAATATTATTGTTTCAATTTATGTAGCACCTTATAGTGCTAGAGCACTCTCTGTGCAGCTTGCAACATAATTATGCAAGGAACACTTTCCCCCCAGCCAGCTGGGTACTCATTTTACTGACCTTGCAAGGATGGAAGTCTGGTCAGTCTTGAGCTGGCTACTTGAGCCTGTTGGGATTGAACTCGGGTAATGAGGAGAGGCTTGAATGCAGTATTGCCATTTAAACACTGTGCCACACAGCTAGCTTAAGTTCCCATGTAAACAAAATGATGCTCAAAGTGGTGCAACAAGAACGTTTACTCTTTATGAAGCAAGAAATACCAGATGTTTAAGCTATTTATTTATCTATTATTTATTGAACTTACATGCCGCCCATCTAGACATTGTCTACTCTGGGCGGCTCACAACAGGCAAGATAAAAACAGTTAATACAGTGGTGCCCCGCATAGCGAGGTTAATCCATTCCGGATTAACCATCGCTATGGGGAAACATCGCTATACGGAACTGAAAACGCCATAGAAACGCATTAAACTTAGTTTAATGCATTC